GGCTGACTAAATACTTTTTTGCCCCACTGTACAACTGACAGGTCAAGAGAATGATTTAGAAAAGGATGTTTCACTGAATCTACAAAAGAAACTGGCTGATATTTTAAAATTTAAAAATGAAATACAAATGACAAACCAAGAGAGTGATCTGGATAATTCTTTCCTATTGGATTTACAAAAGAGGCTTGTTAAAGCCTTGAAAAACTCTGTGCAATGGGACTAAGAATAAATGAAAAGAAATCAAATCCTAAGACAATATTTGAACGAATTAAAGATTAAGACTGTTAGAAGTAAAAGGAAGGAATATAAAGTTGGTTTATTTGAGCAAGGTTAATATAAGATATGCTGTTACTTCTGGCTGCTCTTTTTGGACTTTCTGCTGGCACCAGGACTGAAAAGATTGTGTTTTATGGATTTGTTTCTTGATAAGAGATGGGATATGGGATGAAGCGATAAATTTGTTTATACTCATGATGAAGGTTGAAAGTCACTTCTTTATATATTTCTTTTCTCTTTCTTCTGAATTTTCTTCTTTTTTCTTTGCACTTTTTCCTCCTCTTTTCTTTCTTTAAGTTTAGTTTGTATTAGATTTTATTATTATAATCAAAATTCTTAATAAAAAAGTTATATATTTATGAATAAAAGAAAAATGGGAGTCCCAGAACTTCTCATTGTAGTCATGAAAAAGTTATGTACAAAAGCCACAGTACAGATGGAACATGGTGAAAGAGACCGGCTCCATGTTGACAAGGGAGTGAGACAAGGCTGTATACTGTCCCCTTATTTATTCAACCTATATGTGTAATATATATTGAGGGAAGCTAGATTGAAGGAAGATGAGGATGGTTTTAAAATTGAAGGAAGAAACATCAATAACCTGTGCTATGCTGATGACACTATGATAGTTGAAAATGCAGACTATCTGCAAGCTCTAGTAATGAAAGGAGCATAGTGAAAAAATGGGACTAAAATGAAAGAAGACCAAGCTGATGACAACAGGTACAACTGCCAGCCTTAGAATTGAGATGGAAGATATCGAAATGGTAGACAGTTTCTGACTTTTAGGATCAACCATCAACAGTAAAGGAGCAAGCAGTCAAGAAATAAGCCATAGATTAACACTTGGTGGAGCAGCCATGAAGGCCTTGGAAAAGATATTCAGGTACTGTGATGTGTCTATATCTACAAAGATCAGAATAGTGCAGGCAATTGTATTTCACTGTGACACTCTATGGAAGCAAAGGTTGGACTGTAAAGAAGTAGGATAGAGTAGTGCTGCTTTTGAACTTTGGTGTTGGAGAAGGCTACTGAGAATACCATGGATAAAACAAACCCATGGTTCATCGAACAAATCAACCCAGAGTTCTCACTTGATTCTTAAATAATCAGTCTCAAATTATCCTACTTCAGACAGATTATGCAAGGCTTAGCTCTCTGGAGAGTCTACAAAGCTGGGAAAGATGGGGGAAAAAAAGAAGATGATGATCATCATCAAAGTCTTCCTGAAATACCTTGAACTTTTGCAACACAAAAATCAAAAACAGTCATACTGGCCATGAGGGAAAAAAGTATACATTTTGTAGATCTAAATGTATTGCCTTGATATGTATTTTGAAGATTCGAGATGTTCATGTGAGAGTAGATGTCATGATAGATGTAATCAAGCCCTTCATCAGGCTTGTTTGAATTTGTATATCATTGGAAGTGTGGCAGAAGGAGGATGAGAGGTAGTGGTACCAATAGAAGAGTAGAAGAGGAGGTAGTGATTTGACTTCATGAGTAAACAAACCAGTAAGCTAGTATTCTGTAGAATGCATTAGTGTGGCAGATAGTGTGGGGTTGAGCTAAGTGGCTTTGGGCTCGTTTCATGTTTATTATGTAATTGGGGATACTCTTAATCATGAGATGAAGGTGGATTGATTCTAAAATGAGTCAGAGTTTTATCTGTGTCTAACATTCAAAATCCAAGTTTTGTATGTAAATACTTCCGAAATTTAGAAGGCTTCTTTAATCGTGATGGCAATAAGCTACTGACTGACTTGCTGAAGAGAATTTTTGTCTTAAAAAAATCTGATTGTTCCTTCAGGGGAAATTGTGTGTGTGTGTGTGTGTGTGTGTGTTTGCAGGCTTTACGTTCTATATTCACTCATTAACAACAAGATAGAAATAATAATTAGAATGAAATATGTTAGAAGGCTTGCTATATCCTCTATAGGGCTAACATATTTTTTTTTTCCTTTCAGAGAAATGGAATGCCCGAATTACAGACTTGAGAAAGCAAGTTGAAGAGTTATTTGAAAGAAAATATGGTATGTCTCTTCCTCCCTCCAGTTGTTCAATTATATTTGGAAACTCCTAATAACTTTGTAAAAGTTTGACTTCTTTATGCCATAGAGTCTTTTGTTGTGTTGTCCTGCCATTGTCCAAGAACTGCCAGTGCCAAAGGGTGCTTATAACTGTCTTGGTTCTGCAGACTTAGAGAGATTGCAATAGGTATTAGTGTTTTCTGCTTTACTGGAGGGCCTGCTGTTGGAAGTTCTGCAAGGTAATTTTTTTAGACTTGGTTTCCTAAGAATACATATCCTCCACATGGAATTTAAATGCACTACCAAGAAAAGCTGCAGCCTGGAACTTGTGGAAATTAAGCAGAGTGCTAACATTGCATATTTTGTGGTAGTTAATTCTTTTCCTGTTTGTCATGAAAATGCATCCGTGTATGAGTTAATCTCCTACACTGTTTGGAAGGCAGGAATCACATGACAAGCAAAGCTTGTGTTAATAATGGTACTCTTAATCTCCTCCTTCAGTTCTGTTTCCCACTTTCACCCAGTTCAGGCCTCTCAAAAAGTTTTCCTACTATACTGCTGCAGTTTTATTCATAATTTTTTTTCTCTGTTAGTCTGTTTTTTCTGTTTCCTTTTGCTCATTCATTTTTTTTAAATCATTTCTCTTCTATGTTCTTTAGTGTATAAAGGAATGTACTGAGAGTCAGAGTAAGGCTGAAAAAAGGGAATCCATTTTTGCCTAGGGCACTTTACAGATGAAGCCAGGGTGCTTTCTTCTTGGAGACTGGATGATAATTATCCAAATAATTATTATTTAATGTTGCTGGATCCAGGGAAGGCTTCTTCAGATGGGGGTATATAGTGCCTCCTTAAATGCAGTGAGAAACCCCCTCTATCAAAGAGGTTCTGCCAAGTTTCTGGACCTGGTTACAAACATATACATGCTAACTGTCCAAAAGAACCAGGAAGAGCCTGGCTCCCAGCTCCTTTCCACTTCATTCAAATCTGCTAGCTGGAATGAATCCCAGATAACAAAACAGGATGTTCCTCCAGACCCCACCATGAAGAGACAAGATTCTGGCAAATTTGAGTGACCTTATCAGCAAAATGTTGTGCAGAATCATCACAGTAATTGACTGGTATATCTCCCTGCTTGCCTCTCCCTAACAGAGAATGAATAACCTTACACAAGGCCGTTGGTTGTTGAGGCAATAAGGATGGAAATGTGGGAATACTTTGCCACTCATTGTCACAGTGTAGGCTTAAACATGAGCTCTTGTGCTCAGTCAGATTCACTTTTAGTTTTAGTTTACTGGTGCACCAGGCATAGTTTCTGCTACATTATCTCCTGAAGCTCCTTGATAAACCAAGTTCTGCTGACAGAAAGAGGTCACTTAGGAACAGACTTGTCAAGCTGCTGCTCCTAAAAGTCTTAGGGAGTTACACTTTGGTCATCACCACAATGAGCTCCAGCTGACATCGCCAAGCACTATGTCAAGCTGAAGAGCGGCCTCTCAGTACTGCCAAAGCCACAAAACAAACACCAGCTCAAAGTTAAAAGGAGAGCAGAAAAAAATAACAATAACAAAATAAAAAAATTCCTAGTGAGTTTCCATTCAGGATCAAGTGTATTTAATGTTTTTAAGATGTTGATGTCCTGTTTTTGTATTCTCCCATGACTATAGCTTCACACATAACCATTTCAGTGACTGCTTCTTCCTGATCATAGTCAAATAGCCACTAGTTGTCAGGGCTGTATTCAGAGGAAAGATTGATTGTTCCTCCTCTGATAGAACCAGACAACCGTTCTTTCAAGGGGCATGCCCATGCTGGATTCCTCCAGAATCATAGTCATCACCAATGCCAGCTTGATTGACTGCAAAGCCATGTCAGGGTTTTTCAATATAAGTAACTTGGTCCAAGGTAGAACTTCAATGCAGCTTTAATTAGCTAGAGTTGAAGTTGGTCTTTGTGGCTCTTTGCTGCAAACATCAAGGGAAACCATATACTTATTCATATAGTATGTCATACATAATTATACAATAATTATATGTATAATTATTATCCAATCTCCAAGAAGAAAGCACTTTGGCTTCAGCTGTAAAGTGCCCTAGACAAATATGGATTGCCTTTTTTCAGTCTTACTCTGACTCTTAGTACGTTCCTTTTACTCTGACTCTTAGTACGTTCCTTTACCTATACCACTAGGACTAAAGAACTCAGAAGTATATGGAGCCTCACATTGATCATCAAAATGGGATATGATCAAAGTCTCTCCACAGAAAAGCCCTACCTGTGAGCAGAGCAGATAATCTTATTCCTGTTAGCTCAGTGCATCTGGCGTGGAAACAGATTTCTGAGCTGGACAGCAATAGATACAGAAGAACTCTGACTCATTTATTTGAGTCTGTTCTCATCTCCAATTCACGTGGAGCAGAGACCATTAATCCATTGCATACACTGTGCCCCAATAATATCTTTCATGTTTTCCCTCTATTTCTTTTAAGAATAAGGATTCTAAAAACATTTCAGGAGATAGTCATGATGATCCTAGTGGCCCTGTTATAGCAACTTTATCTTTAATTCTGTCATGGCTCCTTTCATTTCACCCAGACCTCCCTGAGCCAGCTTAGCCTAGCGGTTCCTTCACAATCCAAGTAATTGTACCCAGATTTCCCTAATTAGGGCCATACAAACATGGGTTGGTTGTACCTCACTGTATGGAAGCTGAGCTGCATGCTAATTTAGCTATGAATGGATGCAGAGAAGTTATTAATGATCTTCTCTCTTTCAAGAGAAAGTCAACAAACAGGATATACAAAGACAGATGGAAAGTTTTTCTATAAATGGTTCTGTAGCACACATTAAGCACTTGCTATTATTTTGTCTACAGTATCTAGACTCAAACCAGGCACCCAAGAAAGGAGTCAACTTTATCTTTGGTTCTCCAAACTACTGTTCTATGGGATATTATGCAATAAGCGGATTCTTCCCAGAACTGTTGTTCCGAGTGATTCTAATGAACACTTTCCTCTCTGGAATTTGCAGTCTTCAGAACTCTTACTGAGAAGCCCTTTAAGTCTATTGCTGCAAATTTTAACATTTTTTTTCCTCATGGCTGTTGCATCTATGAGAACAATGTTTGATCTAGTAGCACTTTCAGTCAGGGCAAACTCCATATTTTTCATAAGGAGTCAGTTGTTCTGTTTTCCAATCTGTCCTTTATGCTTGGAACTAATATTTCCTTTCATACATCATAAGAACTGATTTTGATTTTGTTTTGCCCCAACCCTTCTTATCCATGTGATTCCTGCCTTCCTGGAGACAGTATAGCCCATTTTTGGGTGTTTCCATAAGTACCCAATATCATCCAAAAGAAAGGCAGTGAGTTAGCCTCTGTGACCAGTTCTTATTATTCAGTGCTTATCCTTTTTACTTTAAAAATGATTGAAATGAGGGCTGCCTAACATTTGAGAAATGTAATTCAGTGATGCACCTGGGACAAAGGGAGGGGATGTGAAAAATTTATGAAAGTAAGATGATTTTGTATTGGCTGCACAGTCTTTTCCTCTTGATAGATATTGTTTACCCCTAGCCTGACCCCCCAATTCACTTATTGTGTTGTTCTGGAGCAGGGCTCAGCAGCATTTCCTGGCTCACAGATATTATTTCATACTGTAGTACAATGGAGCAGATGCGCCACATTCCTCAAATCCTAGAAGACCTAACAGTATTTAAGACCAGCAAATTCTTGCAACATTTTGCTATTCTGTTGTTACTTTACTTTGTGGTGGCAGAGACTACAGTATGAGGCTGACCTCTTTTTTGAAAAAGAAAACAGCTGCCACACTGAAGACATTAAGAGCCAGTTTGCCACCAGTGGTAAGCCACTGCACCATTCAAAGATTTTTGAAATTTCAGAGGACTCTGAAATCACACATTACCTGTCCTGCTGAGTTTGAACCTACAGTTCTCCCTTGATAATTTTTGGATCAGTCCAATCTCTATGCATTGGCAGAATCCGTGCAAAGTTGAAGTTAGATATTGAAGATTCTGAAGTGAACTATAGTGCAGTGTCTTCCCTTGCCTATCCAGAAGATTGGGAGAAAAAGCTCCCTTATTTTGAGTCACCGTAAGAATAAGAACTGAAACACCTTCTTTCTTCTCTCTTTTTACTTCCTGCCAAATGCAGGTGTTGCTCTGTTCAATAGGTCATTTGCTCCCACCTCCTCTCCCCCTGGGAAACGACAGGAGAATACAGACAGAGGGAGACGTAAGATGGTCCCTATTAAATTTTTACATCCTGGCTCTAGATGAAAACATCCTTTTGTAGGTGTGATCATCCAACTGCAGGCCTACAGAACATATTTGTGAATAGCAAGTAAACTTGACTTCTGGATTACCATGGACATGGCCTAGATTTATAGTTGAGGTTTGGTATCTGTGTGAACTAGTGCAGTGTTTCTGATCACCTGTAAAATGAATTAGAAAATAAAATTTGAATTGATCTACAAGCTGGGTCTGCACCATTTATAGCTTGATGGAATATCTGAATTAGCAATCCTGATTTATGATCATTACTTTATCTCTAGAGGACCTTACGCCTAGTGATTACAATGTTAAGCAGTTTAGAAAAAATAAAATTAGTTTAATTCTGAATCATAGTTTGACTGTTGTATGTGTTAGAGCTCAAAACCAGGGTGCTAATCTGTTGTTAATGAAAATTACTATTGGTAATTGATGTTGTTTGGCATCAGATTGAGCTTTCCAACCTTGGGGGTCCCCCACTTTTATTTAAAATAGGCTCCATTGAAACGTATTGTTACTTTTGTTACAGCATGCTTTGGGAACAAATAGCTTGGCATTCTATATTTAAGCTGTAATATAATTTTTCCTTGTTTATATTAAAGCTGAAGCTATTAATGCAAAAGGGCCTGTATCTATCCCGTATCCACTCTTCCAATCTCATGTTGAAGATCTGTATGTGGAAGGATTACCAGAAGGAATTCCTTTTCGTAGACCCTCCACTTATGGGATCCCACGTCTTGAAAGGATTTTACTGGCAAAGGAACGAATTCGATTTGTGATTAAGAAGTAAGTAAGTTGGATTTAATTTTGTGGACAAATACAGCTGCCTTTTCTTTTCTGCCAAAAGAATTGCTGAACTATGGTGATCTCTTCCATCTTTCTCCCCTTCTCCAAGAATATTAGAAGTGAGTCAATCACACACTGAAAGGGTTACCTATAAATAGGGAAGCATGCAAAATTAAAACAAATGTTTTGTTTCAATCCTGGAACAAATCACTGCTTTCTGTAAGTTCTGTGAAACCATTCTGGGTAAGGCACAGTTTGACAGACGCAAAACTCAGAACATTTTCACTGTTCTGTGTTTGGGATAAAACATAATTGGGCAGGGCAAATAGAGGAAGATGTCTGTGCATCACTCCCTCTCTCCCTTCTTATTCTCAGCAACTGCCAACACGGCATATCCCTCCAGCTAGCCCCCACCCCCTTCATCCCAGAGTCTTCTCTTTCCTCCCTCCCCTTTGTTGACCCTGTGTATGCCTCAATGCAGCATATCCTCCTGGCCTGCCCCTCAATCCTCCCAGTACTTTCCCTTCCTTCAGCTGCTGCTGGTGACTCAGGGCAACATAACCCAACCCTCTCCACAGCACTATCTCATATTCCAGAATGCAGTCACTATTCCCTTCAGGCCAACACTCCCCTGCATCTGTGCAGGAGGGAGGGAATGAAAGATGTTGAGAAAATTGGGGTGGGCAGGCTGTGGAATATGCCACATTGGGACACCAGTAGTGACTAGAGGGAGGGAGAGAAGGAATAAGAGGCACTGGGAAGGTCAAGGCATAGTAGGCTGATGGGATATGTCATGCTGGGAGCTGCTGAGGGGGGAGAGGGGGTGGCATGCTTCAGCCATCTTCTCCTCCTCCTTAGCCACCAATCTCAATGTCTGTGGATTCCCCCTCTTCTCCCTCCATGCCCTCTCCCTATTAGGAGCAAACTTGTACACAAATCGAAACATAATGAAGCATGCGTTTCACTTGAAGGATAAGTCATCCAAAAACAGCTGTTTCATGTGTGAACAGTTTAGGCACAGGTCATTTTGTAAATCTTTACCTATAAATGCAAGGCAGACAGAAAAATGAAATTTGCTGTTACAACATTTAGGAAAATTATGAGTGTGTTTGATCCTTTAAGCTTGTTAACTTAAGTATCTGTATGAACAGAGGTAGAGCCCCTGCTAGGTAGCCAGGGAGAAGTGGGCATGCTACTTTGGAAATTGAAAGTAGGACTAGAATGAAGCCCTGTGAACTAGAACAGTATAAGCTATTACAAGTACATTTAGCATAGTTCTTAACATGACCACTTTCAATAGTAAAGATTCAGAGAAAGGGGAAGCTAAATGGAGCTGTGTGCATGTGATTTTTGGCTCAGCTGTAGCTATCTCTGCTGATTATGTTGGAGTATTTCACATTTCAAGAAGCTATGACTATGTTTGTTTTGTTGGTGGTTCTTACTATCCAGCTAATATCATTGTTGATATATCAAGTTGTGCTGAGTTTATTGAAGGATTCCTAAAACCATTTGCATCTCTGTTTGCCAGTGAGGAAGCACTTTGAACATTTTGCAACAGTGGAGCCAGGGCACCCGATAGTGAGTATCTGCTCCCACTCATTTTAGAGGCAGGGCATAGTTTTCTCTTAATCCTCCTTCCTATGGGAGGGGAATAGTTCCCTTCCCCAGTTCTAGACTTATCTTGCTCTGGGGAATAGACCTATACAAGAGGTCTGATAGCTATCCACAGGTTAGAATTGATAATTGTTTCTTTCTCCCTGCCCCCCTTTTTGCTTTAATTTTACCATTATTTTCCTTTGTTAATAAACCTAGTTGGCTCCTATGACCAACAAACACATAGTTGGGAATTCCTATCCATGGACACTAAAGAATTTCTCTGATGACTGCAGCCAAAAAAGGGGCAGGGCCCGATGGTGCAATATCCTGCCCTTCAACTCACTCCCACTTTCCCTTCAGGGAAACATGACCAGTGTTGTGGTTACCAAGCCATATATTGCTTACAATTGCCAGTGGGGTTGTCATTGCTCCTCTTTGGAGTTGGTTGGCCCGGGCACTAGAAGGGATGGAAAATGGGGTCCTGAATATAGAACCCTCCCAACCCCCCTCCCATGACAGAACCTCCATGTTGGACTACCTTCAGTGGCTCTGCCAAATACTGTCCCTCTCTGCAGGCTCTATTCATCTTACATTACATCTGAGACTCCAGAGGATGGGATTGGGATTTCCAACCAGTCCTGAAATCACTGGAATGAGTCTACCTTGTCCACCACCCATCCCAGAAAGGAGGAAGAAGGTGGTAACTCCTGCCTGCAGAGAAAGCACAAGGAGGGAGATGGGGAAAGCATTGCCCATCCCTATGTCCTCTTCCTCAGATGCATTCTCACCAGATCCCCATTAGAGAGGGCAAGCACCAGAGAGGGAGAGACCTAGCCTATCTTTTTTGGCATCTGACTTAAATTGCTCCTTAGGACCAGTCAAATAGAAAAGAGGAGGAAGAATTGTCTCTAGGTAAGAAAGAGAACTAAAAGCCAGTCCCTGAGTCCACCAGGATTTTTTGAAAGCAGATTTTCTACAATTATTCAGGAAAGTCTGCAGGACTCTCAGCCTATAGAAAACACAGCCCTCTGTTCCTGTAGATCTTCTGATGGACCCACTGATAGCAGAGGTGTTCCTGGTGGCTTACAACCCCATCATGTGTTTCCCATTTCCTGAGATATTTAGCAAACAAACTGAAGTGGAGGGTCTCTGGGGGAGCAAGGGGCACACCTGCCTTGCCATCAAGTTTTCAAGTCTGCCCCTTCAGTGAATGCCTTTCTGATGGCACTGGTTTTGGGTCCGCAATGAATAATGGTGAAAATACCCCCAAGCACCTAGAGGACAGGATAAAGATAATACAGTGCAGTTCTAATAAGACAACAAGGACTGTCTCACTACTTCTGTTTCTGCCTGGGCTTCTGTTCTCTGGACCATGCAATTAACTCTACTCATCCGCCTGAGCATAGAAAACTCAGTGCATGAATAAACTGGATAGGACTGCCATACCTAGATAATGTAGAGTTCTCAGCTAGAGGCATGGTAGCCAGTTTATCCATTAGGAAGCAACTGTGGCTGAAGGACTGGAACTTAAGACTTGAAGGTGAAATTGGTGTTTATATTAAGTCCATTTAAGAGTGGAAAATTGTTTGGAGAAGCCTTAGAGACTAGACAAAAAGGCATATTCAGCACTTTGAAGGGAAAGGTAGTGGAACTGCAGGATACTTCTGTTTAGGAGATCAGTCATGAATCTCTTTCCAGCACCTTTCAGCCACAAGATGGATAGTTTCATCTCATATTTCCCAAACTAGGGAGCAGAGGCAACAAATGACTTCAATGTCAGCTGGCCCAGTTTCCACTGATTCCCAGATTCCTGCAACTTGTGTGAAACTCTGGAGGAGAATTGATACTGATAACCTCCACCTAGCTCAGAAGTCTCTGCTATTTGGATCTAATCAGTATGTGAGCATCTTGACCATGAGGTCTCCTGACATTGCGAGGCATGCTAAGTCCCAGTTGGTTACAATTGCACACTTGAAGATTGAGCAGACCAGCTCACTTGCTTAGGCTATCTGTGCAAACCATCCTGGCCTCTGGTAATATCTGTGACCTAAATTGTAAAGTCTTCTGTAGATGAGCCAAAAGCAAAAAAAAAATACTACTAACTTCATCCTTTATCTCTCAAGAACTGGCCTTTGTACAGGAAGACCTAGTTAACAGACTGCAGTCAGACATTCTCCTCAGGCTAATGTCAGATCTCTCTGACATTCTAACACTAAAGAGCAGTGAGCCTTTGTTGGCCCATTCTCACATCAATAAAGTCCTGGCTTTTCCCCCAGGCATTGAGGCCAGGATGTTAGTTGAGTCAGGTATGTATGTTTCATCATGTGTTATAGAAGAGCCTCAGTTGCAGTGTATAGTATTACACTGAGTTCATTTTATTTAGTTGTATTTTATGTTTTTATCTATTGTTAGCTGCCCAGCGCCACTAGATTGAGAATTATTTAAATACATACATGCATATATTCCTAGGAGGGGCATCCATCAGGACTTTAAGTCCTAGCCTGAGCTCCGTTTGAAATATCTGTCTAACATGGAATATGGCATGCCTGATAGCCATAACATCAGTCAGTTAGTTTTCAGAAATAGGAGCCCTCTCCCTCGAGGAATTTTCATCATCCCTCAGAACATCTTAACACTGTACCTAAGCCCCAAAAGTGAACTGAGTTTTTATTGCTCCCAGGAAGTGATCCTTCTCATCTTCCTTTTCCAGACCTAAAGCCCATTTAGGAGGGTGTCAAACAATCCATCAAGATCTGAGTACAACAGAAGAATTCAGAGACAAAGTGTCTCCTTGAGTCTTTTCAACAGGCTAACCTTGGCCACAGAGCTTCACTGGTCATTATATCAATATTAATTAGGCACAGAATAAATCTGTCCCACAGATAATTGTGACCCATTCTGTCAGAAACACAATCAGCCACTTGTGATTACAGTCAACCCACTGTGGGACCTTTGTGCGGCTGCCACATCATCCTCCATGTCCTCTTTTAATAAAACAAATTTTCTGCAACATATTCAGCAGGAGGGTGCTACAGAAAGTAAGCACCAGGGACTTCCTGATGAAAGAACCCACTCTCAGGGACAGCTCTGATATGTCCCTCTATTGCAGCGGTTCTCAAACCCTTTGGTCTCAGGGCCCTTTTACATTCTTAAAAATTATTGAGGACCTCAAAAAGCTTTTGCCTATGTGGTAGTTTCTTAAAGGTTAGTTGCAACATGGACGCTGAGACCATATCAGTGAATTTTTTATACTCTGTTACATTAATATCCATCTTGCACTTTGGGTGGATCTTTTATTCATGCATGATTTTGTAACATCATGCATTGGTCATTTGGAAAATTGGTTCACTGAGTTACACAGATCTTTCAAATGCTGACATAGTTCAATAAATCAAAAAAATCAGATTTCTTAATATCACCATGATCTCATCAGAAAAGTCTTTAAGCATTGAGAAGCTATCAAGCTCACAATGGTGGATACAAGTTTTCTAAAATTCTAATTTTCGCTTGAAAGCTCAAATTTTATCATTGGCAACAAATACTGTCAATTTTCCCTGAAGTGACAGGCTTGCTTCGTTCATTTTGAAAAAATATCTGCCAAATACTCAAGAGTGAATAGCCATGGCCATTCTTTCAAATAAAAATGATGTTCCATGAAAAAAGTTGCTATTTCCACCTGCAATTTAATCACACAAGTGCTTTTCCTTGAGCAACCATCATACTTCCGTATACAGCAGGAGTGCTTTATGCATACTTTCCATTTCATCACACAGAGCATTAAAAAGATGTCTACCCAAGGGTTGAGTTTAATAAAATTAATATAACTGTGAGTGCGTGGCAGTGAAGAATACAATGACTTCTAGAGCAGTTTGGTGCTACCGATTGGTGGTGAGACGCCAGCAGTTTTATTCCACTATACACTCATGAGAGAATGAAAGTGAAAAAGGCAAATAATGCCACAGTGTTATTATGAAAATAGTTTTGACTTTGGGAACCCTCTGAAAGCCTTGGGGACCTCCAGGTGTCTGCGGATCACACTGAGAACTGCTGCTCTATTGGATGCCCTGCCTTTGTAGGCAAACAGCACTCTGGATTTACTGTGAAAGTCTGTGGTCTGTAGCAGAGATAGGGCATCCAGTAATAATTAATGACAGAGAAGATTTGGCCCCCCATCTGCATCTGCAACCAGTTCTCACATCTCCCTCTTTATTCCTAATTTTCTCAAGTATTTTATCTTTGCGTCTTTTTCTGGCTTATTCTGAAACTGGGAAATAGCTTATCCTTTCCCACTGGAAAGTAGGATTAGAAGAAATCTAAGCTCTGCCTCCAAGACATGTGGGAGAAGATGCCCACTACCAGATACCCTGTCTCTGCTGTAGAAAATAAACTTTTATGGTAAGTCTAGTGTACCATCTTCTCAATCCAAACTTGGTTTATCACATCCCTGCATAGTGTGTTTTCCTGTCGAATGATGGTGTTCTTAATTTAGGCTTATAAATCTCTGCTGTAATTTGGACTTCTCACTTTGTAAAACATGTTCTTGTTTAATTTCTCTATGGGAATAAGAAGGCCAGGAGAGGTATATAACAAGTAAAACAATATTTATTATGGGGTAATTGGTAATCAGAGTGGAATGTTGATTGCTGAAATACATATTTTGTTTGAATGTTTACAGGCATGAGCTACTAAATTCAACACGAGAAGATTTACCATTAGATAAACCAGTTGCAGGAGGTAAGTGGGTGCACCCCAGTTGTGGCTACATTTGATGTAGATTTGTGTACTATTTTTGATGGGAGGTTGATGGTCAACCATGGACAAGGGATCCATGATTGTGACAACCTGTGATTAGAATTCATCTCCTAATGAAGTCCACTGACACATGTTTTAATGAGTTTGTTGGCGTTTGTGGGGGGTAGAAATTTCTGGTAAGGTACCAAAGGCTGTACCTTACCAGAAATTTGAAGCGCACCCCACTGATCTTTATGTGGAGGGTTTGCCAGAAAATATTCCATTTCGGAGTCCCTCTTGGTATGGAATCCCTCGGCTGGAGAAAATTCTTCAAGTGGGGAATAGGATAAAATTTGTAATAAAAAAGTAAGATCAATTACCTGTGCATTTCAGTATGTTCACATTGCATTTGTGCAAGATAAAAATAATCCAATTTTAAGCAATGTAATATGTATTAAGAGAATAGAATAATTGTATGGAATTTATTTCTGACAGGCTTGTGTGTGTTAAAATTCCAATGCATGGTGCCATGCTCAAGGATTTTCTTTTTTTCTGTTTCATGCTGTTTATATTATGGTTTCCAAAATACAGTGGTACCTCTAGTTACGAACACCCCTCCTTACGAATTTTTCGAGATACGACCAGCTGCGGCCCCAAAAATTTACCTCTACTTGCAAACTCCGCCTCGAGTTATGAACCGGATCCGCAGCCATTT